CAAAGGGCTCGTATAACCACTCCACAGGATGCTATAGATGAGCAGTAACATTAACAATAGGTGATAGTGTAACTACAGACGTTACTATCACTTATTTAACTTCAACTTATCGAAGTGCTTGAGCAAACTCTTATATGAATTTTGTATAAAAAATAGCAGATATTGCTGCATTCTTGTCAAGCTAAGTACAATAATCTGAACATTATAATAGATATTAGAAAATTTTGAATAAAATATATTGGGAACTTTATACCTATATTATGGTTATTGTTTATTGAAAAGAATTTAGAAAGGATTTCGTACAAAATTTGTATTTTATCGATATCAGAATTAGGTAGAAATCCCATAACAATTTATTCAGATAGTTGACCTTAAAAATCATTGAACGGAGCAGAATAGATCTCTACGTCGCAGTGCAAGACTTAAAACATGCAATCTTAAAATAACACCTTTCGCCCAATAGAAAAAAAATGAAAGAACACATTATATTACCTTAAACACAATGCTATATCATTTGAGTTAATGTTTTCATATAAACTTTGAATTTCTTTTAAAAGTTTCTTCTCTAATAGATTTATTTTTTATATACCCCTATCTATACATATTGATTGCTCATGACAGCTGTTAAAAGTATACAGAACAAATCTCCAAATTTTTAAAATGTTTTAACTTTAATACAAAACTAAGAAAATATAAATAATCAAACCTGTCATAAAGTTCAGGGTCAAAGTATATAGGTATAGTCGAAATATCACCGATAATTTTAGTAAATAAACGTAAGCAGTGATATCCATTCGTTTTCCCGAAGCTTTGAAATAATCTATACTTTAAATCGTTTAAGTATAAAAAAATACCTGATTTCAAGGCCATCAAATCAATAAATATTTCAAAAGGTGATTAAGCCTCTATAAAAATAGATTAATTTAAAGTTTGAGAGTACTTAAAGTATTTGAGTCATTTTAATTAACTAAATTAACTGAATATTAATATTTATGACTAATTAACGTTTGTATTTATCTTAACTAAAATCTTGGAAAATTGTTCAGTAGCAAATTCTGAAAAATAATGCTAGAGCCCAATTTTACAATACACACTTAAGTGTATATCGAACACTTAAGCGTTACTGACCGTAACTATTCTTTGTAAAACTCGTTCTTAGTTGTTTTTTTCTGTATTTTTTCATCAACTTAGAAGTTTTTATATATAATTTAACAAATACTATACATTAAAAACTACTTCGAATATTAATTGCTGAAAAAAGCTTAATACAACAAATCTAGATCTCAATATGAAATTATCTATAATAATAAACTATATTACTTGTTAGGCAGTACTCTACGGATTAATATTTTTTAAGGTCAATCCCTTGTGGCAGTTTTCAGTAAAATGCGCAGATATATATTATTTCATTTCATCTTATTATTTTCTGGAATTTTATTGAATTGATCAGTTCACGTAAGCCTCAGCATTTTCAAATATCTTATTACTGTGTTACAAACCTCTAGTTCACACAACTCATAAATATGCAATATATAAAAAATTAATTGATCAGTTGAATATAGTGGCGACATATCTTCCTCTTATAACGTTTAGCTACTAACTTATTTGGAATAGGTTTGTGATGACTTCTTAAAGGTAAGATGAAGAATAATTATTTCTTAAGTCTATATTTGGATTATTTAGCAGGCTCGGTAGACTGTTTCCATTTCAAGTGAGCATTTGGTTATATATTATTTATTCACAAAAATTAAGTATAAAATTAATTATGTACATAAGGTTAAAGTATGTCATACAAAATGAATGATATGTGTCATACAAAAGTAACAAAATGTTAGCAAAAGTAACTTATCTTACACAACTTAAAACTTGCTGTAATGGAACATATAGATTTTGTAAGAAATAGAATGAGACCTTAAGACATGGTCTAAGAATTTGCCATCCATATACTGATCCATACACGAATGTACTACTAAGATGGGCAGTTTTTATTAATTGGATAAAAAATAAAACGCTATGTATAATCTGGATTGAATACAATTTATATAGGAAATTAAACTTGGAGAATAACTCTATATCCATGGAGGGACAATAATAATGATAACTAAAGAGCAACTTATTTATATCCATAGTAAATATGCTGGTTTGTTTTTTTTTTTTGGTTGGGGAAAAATTGGGCATGTATTAAAGAGATAAGAATCTATTGAGCCATCAATATAATAAAGATGCTAAAAAAAGATTCAAACTGTAATATACAATTAAGATTTAAGACCATTTTTTTTTAAATACTAGATAAAAATGATGATGATGGATAAAAATGATATATAGAGTTTCCAATTAACCAGTAGCTAACCATCCGATTACTTTTTGCTGTGAGGTGCTATTGCCAAAATATAAACTATTCTGGACAATAGACCGAATATATAGTGCTAATTATTTACTCTTACTCTTACTCATACCTTATTCTTACTCCGACCTATACGTGAACATTCCTATATTTAACTTTCAATACTGCTTTGCTTTGCATTTCTGATCCATGTAAGAAGGCAAGGTAAAGGTATCCGCACAGGATATCTGGTTTTTATCCGCACAGTTCGTTGATTATTTTCTCTGATTTATTAAGCGCGAGTGAAATAGAACTATATAATAACATATATTTTTGTATTTATTGACTCTTATTTTTCAAATTTTATCAAGTAAACTAATTTATATATATATATATATGACCACAAGGCTTAATTTAAATATTTTGTCATATTGTGAAATTAAAAAAGTTATTTTAGTTGATTTAATTTATAGTGAAATTTATAAACAATACTTTTATCACTAAATTGTTTAACACTGAGCTGCATACTTTATTCGTCTTATCGATTAATTTGTTTCGAGATAAAAAGGTAATAAATTTCGATTTTAATAATTTTTATACCATAAAATTGCAACCGATACTCGTACTCTACTAGTGTACAAAACTAATTTTTTTAAATAGAAAACACTGCAATTTACAACACTTTTTACGTACTTATAAATAATTAGTAATGTATGCCACCGTCTGGAATTTATAACATTGCTTATAAACAGATACACAATATATATATATGGATAGACAATATATATGAATCTACACATAAACATAAGGTTTGATAACGAATGCCTAGGTCCGTTTGTACTCAAAACATGTGTTTATGCGAATCCGGCAAGTGGAATATCTATAAAATGTTTTGGTTTAAACTTTTAAGTACATACCTTATAAGTTAGTTTATTTTTAGAACACCCCAATAACATATGCGAACCTTATATATTATGATCTAATCAATCCAATTTTTTTATACCATCTGAAACCATAAAATTTCAGATTCATTTTTTCTAAATTATTTTTTGTACTAAATACATTTATTAAACAATTTAATTCATTATTGTTTATCTTCGACTTAGCTATGAATACTTTTGTGCAAATGAAATGCAAAATAATTTCATTGAATTTCTTGAAGAGCTTTTTCGAACAGTAGTGACTACAACAACAAAAATGCATTTTATATTATTTTAATTAATTGAGTTTTTGGCTGTCTATACAGCTGTTTCGAACTTGTGTCCTGCCAAATTTGAAGATCAGAGTCAGCGCTCCTTAACCAACTGATTCAAAGTCGTAATTAACTTTTATGTTCGCACATTTTTCTAGAGTTTTATTAATTTGCTGTAGAATAATCTGTAGAAGAATTGCATTAAATAATGATATTTTTATTTTTAATTATTAAATTTCGATACTGTTCTGTTTGTAGATACATTATTGAATTTCTTGTGCAAAACTATTTTCTTTTTTACACCTGAAAAAGCTTAGCGACGAAATAGCTAATCATTATAAACAAAACATCCTAAGTACCTTAGAAGGCAAAATCTGGACTTCCACGGTACGAGTCGTAACCACTCCTCACGTATGCCGACAGAGTTTGTGAAAAAAGGAAGAAACTGAATGACTTCAAAAGAAATGTGCTAAAAAATATATATAATTTGCAATATAGATGTATATTAAATGCAAGAATAAGTTATGAAGCTCGAAATTAAGCCAGATATTGTAACTACAATACAAATTGAAAGATTATATTACTTGCAACGAATTTTTTGGATGATAACAAAAAAACCTCACGGTTTGAGGTTCTTTTGCTCTTAGTTGATTGAGATTCGATCTTAGTCGTCGATGGTATCGACAATAATGCAACGACATACATATCATAATTTAAAGGACAGTTGTAAAAAATAAGGTTAAGTGCAGGAAAATCTTAATAAGTGTGTATACCTAGTGCGGACCCATTTAAATACATATACAATGGTGTTGGAAATTATAAGCTGAGAACAATATTTAATAAAACTATTTTCAATTTGGAAGAATACTATCTGATTATATATAGTAGGATTTTTTTGTCTGGTTTTAAAAAGCTAATCATATTTAAAAAAAGTTTTTCAACTCTCTAAATATATATATATATATATACATTTCCCAAATATGTACTAAAGAGCTGAAACTTCTGCTAAATGTGTTAGATTCCTATATTAATTTATTTGAATGCTTAGCAACTTATTATTACAATGCATAGTTAATACTTTTCATCGATATATGAATATGCAATATTCAAATCATTATATATCTATGTTTATTACAATAAGATATAAATTCATATGTACAATGACTAGATATAAATGATAATGTAAAGTTATAAATTCATATATATAATGACTTTCGGTCCTGAATATGTGATCGAAGGAAACTTGATATAACTTGATAACAATATATATATATAATAATATTATATAAATATATATTATATATAAGCAATAGTACATTACGTTCTTAGCGGAGTTTTTACATTTATTGTAAAATAACTAGAGTTCAGTCTAATAAACTTCTATTAAAATTGTTCTATATTATTGAATTTAATTTTTAAATAAAATATTATTATAAAACGAACTTTTCTTTTACTTCTTTATATTTTTATTTATGAAACCCTAAACATCCAATGATGCTCATATCACATTAACATAAAGTAATGATAAACAACATAAAATTAAAGCGAAAAATTATCATACATAATTCTAACTTAAAAATGCTTATATACATATAATATTTAAATTCTCAAATATTACAAAAATTTAAATATTTAAAAAAGCCTTGAAATAAATACAGCAACGGACATAACCATCGTCAGAGAGAAAGCGGTAATAGACACACCGCCATCAGTGCGGTAGTCAGTAATCCAGTTAATGATGCTATTGCGATTATTTTCCAACCAATTGAAGTTAGCATTAATGTTTGACTTGACCGAAGTTTCCAAGTTAGAGTTTACAGCATCGCTGTCTTTTACTTTTTCAACCAACGCCAATAGCTTAAAATAAAAAATAAAAATTTTATTTTTGTTAAAAGAATTTAAACAATATGTTAAAAACTTACTTTGGTTTCCTGATCTTTGGTAACTACATATTGTGACATGCCCTTAATATCAGAGTCAAGTGGTTTTGAACCTCCGAAGGTACCAACTGTTAAAGCAGCGTATGCTTCCCAGTTCTCATTTAAAAACTCAATACATGCTAATAAACCTGTTTCACTGCGAGAGTAGACTGGATTTAGTATGATTGTGCGTTCCTGTGTACGCAAACTATTCTCCAGGTCAATGGAACTTTCAATGAATTTATCCAACTGACTCCTCTTAGTAGCACAACCCAAAGAGGAGATTAATGAACGACGACGAGCTTGATCAGCTGATGTAAACAATATCTCAAGGACTTTATCGTATAAACT